ATCACTTATCAGGGATAGAGAGGGCAGAGAGAAAGTCAGAAATGGTTGGGGAAGAGTATGGCACAAAAGAACATGCTATAATAATATGTTGCTTCACAACTTAGTTTGGAAAAATAACTCAGGGCTGTAGCAACCAGGAGGGTGCAAAAGAAGCTTAAAGCTACTCTCTCTCCTAGCTATGAGTTCTGTGTTGTGCCTTTTAGGGCATATCTGTGCTGTAGTCCAAAACTGTGACTGCAACATATATAGATTTACTTGAGACATGGGCAGAGCTAGGATTTTGAAAAGTGGGTTGCAGATGGTGAGGTGCATATAACACAATACATTTTTCTCCAGATAAAAAGAAATTAGAAGCTTTACTAATATGCTAGGGACCTATGGCTGTATTATTCAGTTTATGTTGAAGCAAAAACAAATATAACTTTATTGGAGTGTCCATTAATTTGCTACATCATATATTATATATTAAAAACACAACAAACTAGGCAAAATAATCAGAAGATGTTGTTTCTTTAGTCCTGTAGTCATTCAAATGAAATGTACGTCTCTTTCAGATTCATAAACCAAAGCCAGCCTTCTTGAGCATCTTGGCAATGCATCCAATGCTTCACTGAAAGTTATTTCCACATCTGAGTTAATGTTTTTAACCAGAGTTAAAAACAGATTTCAGGACTGTGAAACAGAAGCTACAATACCAGGAGCAGCTAGCAGACAGCAGAACTGCCAAAGAAAGAATAGCTTGATTAGTGGAACATAATGACCATTAAAAAAGGAGAGAAGGTCATTAACATCTGTGGAATGAAGAGTTTAGAAGGAATTAGGTAGATTTTGATGAACCACAAAGTCAATTGATTCCCTCACTGCTGCCTGAATAGGAATGCTGCTGTTACTGCCAGGCAGTTGGTTTTAAACTTTGGGTGAACCAGGAATCAAAGAAGAGTGCAAATGTACCACTGCACCCTCCTCCCCTCCCCCTCTAGATCCACTCCTGACCTAAGATTGCACTTTATTAGCTATATTGGCAATCAATAACAGTATAGCCAAGGCAGCTCAGAACTCAGCCCAGGCTCGCCACATGAATCTGTGTCCTGGGCAGATTCTATAACTTTCGGCTGAATCTTATGCTGCCAATGGCTATACTGTAGTTATCACATGATTACCCAATTTGAGGCTTGGCTATGCATACATTAGCTGTAATCACATTTTTGGATTGCTGGATAGACATAAAGGCAGATCAAAGTCTCAAACAATGTGCTAAATGACATACAATGATCTACTGGAAGGGGCAAATGATGGGTAGAGAGAAAGGCATCAGTCAAAGCAGCAAATGGTTGAGGGAGCTAATACAGAAAAAGAATGCAGTGTGTGAATGGGGACAGGAAACCTAGGCAGGGTAGGATGAGTGAGGAGGAAAAGGGAGAGAACATAGTGGTCAGAGTGGAAGAGGAGTGACGGGGAACATATGGCAAACTAGACTTTTCCTGGGGATGGGCAGGAGAGGAGAGATCTTGAAAGAACTGGAAGGAGAGACCAGGGACAGGAGAAAGGAAAAAGAAACTGAAGAAAGGGAAATTTATTTTAATGCATTTAAAAGAAAAGGTTGGTGTCAAAATGTAAATATAGTGCTCCGCTGTTTAACTTTCTACAAGGGACTTGACAGGGCTGGAAAGCAGTCAAGAGGCCATGAGAGCCCATTGACACCTGGTCTATAATCTGATGCTCTTGAGATGTTTCCATATAAGGGTGGCATATACATAATAAAAATAAATAAGTATATGTTAATGTGTGGCTGATTGAAGCCAGCTAAATGGGTCTGGTTTTGGTAGATACTGGTGCTTTTAAAGAACATAAATTGTCACTAGCAACTTAATCTAGCATTTGAGAAAAACACTAAGTTGGTTTTCTTTATTTTGGCACAAAATCTTTTAAACTAAAATCTTCTGAAATGCAGGAAATTGCACCATTATTTTTTAAAGGGTTTCCATGGGAAAGGAATACTTGGACAGGCTGATTTACATATTTCTTTCTTTCTTTTTCTTTTCTTGTTTTTGTTGCCACAGTTGTTTTGCTGTCTATAGGATGTAATGTATTGGCACCCTGTCTGGAGTGGCCACATCTGGAGTAATGGGACAACACTTTCCTGCCCAGTCATTGGTGGGCCTCTCTGCTGAAACTGTCAACTGGATTGATATGTGTGACCGCCTTACTTTGAATACCTACTCACGCGCTGCCTTAGCATGGGTGCCTGGTGATGGGCATGGTGAGGCTTTGTGAGACCACTGAAAGGGACCTCAATCACCCCAGAGAAGACCCCTGAACTCATCTGCCATGACTTTGAGTTTATTTTCAGTGGAGGGGTCTCCTGTTGAAGGTCCTTCAGGGTCAGTCGCTCCTCCCAATGGATATTTGTGGGACTCCACCTCCCCTACACCCCTTCCTTATTCCAACCTCCAGCGGGCCACCTGATCTTAATATGGCTGTCCCTCCAGTCTAGATGATCTTTGCTCTTCATGCCCTCTCTGTGACCAGTTATTGTCCTCGTTTCCTTAGCAGGCTATGGGTCTGCTGTGTTCACCTCCCTCAGTTATCTCTCTTGTTGTCACCGGCTACTTGCCGAGTCTCATGAGCACCCCCTGTGTTAGGGTGTAAGTCAGATCCCCTCAAGGTGGACCTAACCACTGAATAACAGAAAAAGACAAAATATAAAAAGCAACAAAAAGAACTATACACAGGCAAGAGGCAACTAAAGAGAAAAAAGGACTTAAAGAAAAAAAGAGGGTGGATAGGAAAGGAGAGATCAGGCTAATCTGCTCCTGTTCTCTGCCCTAGAGCCTGAGCCAGAAGGCATCCCCAGGTGCTGCTCTTCTCTCTGTCTTCCTCGAGAGTGTCTTCTGTTCCTCCCCAAGTTAGCCTCTCTCCTCTACTCTGGATCTGTGGGAATCCAGAGTGGAGGGCTTCCACCATCTCCAGGGCTCCTATTGCTCCTTCAGGAGTGAGGTCTTCCCCTGAATGCTGGTGCTGCCCATGACCGGTGTGGGGTTGTACTTTAACTGCTGCCACTTGGGATGCCTATCACCAAGTGGGATCTGCCTTTTCACGCTGGCGCTGCCTGCCACCGGTGCAGAGAGTCTCTGCAGCGTAAGCTGCCTCTCTCCAAGTGGGAACTTTCTTTTCATGCCAGCGCTGCCTTCCGCCAGCATGGAGAGCCTCTTCAGCCTCTGCTGCCTCTCCCGCTCTCCCCTTCTCTCCGCTGGCATTCCTTTTTATCCCAGCCAGCCAGTGATCGCTCCTGATGTCACCTGCCGGCGCCAGCTGTAGATAAGCATGACTAATGAACTGTGTGGGCTTTTCTCTTCATTCCTCCTGTGTCTGGAGTCCTGCAGCAGGTAAGTAGTCTCTGATTTCAGGGTTTTTTCTCCCGGAATGTGCAGCCCCCATCCTGGGATCCCCTGTGGGGAGCATTTCTAGCTCCCCTGTGGTTGTGCCCCTGGGACAACATGTAAGTGCAAATTGTGATGCTGTATTTTGTGATGTGGACACACATTCCAAGAAGAAGAATAAATGAGCCTGTGTGGAGCTCCACTTTGATCCAACTAGACCGATTCCGGTACCTGAGCTAGTTTGCTTAAGATAATTCTAGTATCTCCATCATACTGCACCTACTGTATAGTCATATCCTGACATCAGTCACCAATATCACTTCTCATTTGAAGGGGGACTGGATGATGGCAACATTTTTACTTTCTTTTACACTGATTTCATTGATAGGGTGAAATTTGCTCCAAAGGAGAGTATGTTTACAAGGTTCTCTGCACAATTTGAACCCTGCACTGAGAGAAAAATTCTGCCTCCAACTCTAAAGCTATGACTAATGATACTGTTGCAATGGAGGGAGGTATGATTCAGAGAGGCATAAAAGATGGGCACCCCCTCCATGGAATAAAATCCTATTCCATAAGGACGCACTGCAAAACAGCATACACAGTTCAAGGAGGAGAGACACCAGAGGATCCACCACCATCCATGTGTTGGGGACATGTAGGAAATTCACCATCACTCTGACTGTAGTACCACCAGCACCATGTCCCTCTGTCTCAGTGGGTGTGTCTACACCTGCATTTACGTTTGGTTAAATTTACCGCGCAGTAAGTTACAGCGCAGTAAGCAGGAATAGGCCAGCATCTACACGTGCAGGTGTTAAAGTCTATTAATGCTGTGTGCAGACTGACTTGGGACTAAAGTGAGTCCTAAGTCAGTCCACACACACACACACACACACACACACACACACACACACACACACACACACACACACACACACACACACACACACAGTGTTACTGTGTAGTAAGGCATCTGCATGTGCATTACTGTGTAGTAAGTAATCGGGAGTAAATTTGATACCTGTTGGGCAGGCTGGCCGGTGGGTTCACTGGCAGCCTGTATTGTTAACTTGAGCCCAAAATGGCTCAGGAGGATTGGTGGAACATTTTCACCAATCAGGAGGAGGCAGGAGGCAAGCTCGCCCTGCCATGACCCAGGGGCAGGGTGAAGAAGAGGACCTGAGGGGGAACTAACCCCTCAGGCTTTCCTATTGATCCATTTTCAATCTGGGGGCAGAGCATCCAGAAGAGATAAAAGTCTGCATGCCTAGCACATGGGGAGCTGTTAGCGAGGGGCGATGAAGACGAAGCTTTTGAAGAGCTGGTAGAGCTGACCAATAGAGTGAAGCAGTTGCCCCAGAAGTGCCCAGAAGATGCTGCCACCTAGCAGGGAGCAGCAAGGAGCTGTGTCCCCAGCCCCACCGCAGAGGGAGCCGCAGCATTGGTGCACAAATCGGTGCATGGAGGGCCCAGGAGCAGACGAGACCTAGGTGGCTGCATGAGGCAGCATGGGTCTCCAACGATGCCCAAGGAGCCTTCAGTGCATGGATTGGTGCACAGGGCTGATGAGGTTCTGGGAGTGGATGGGACTGCACAAGGCAGCGCAGGTCCCCAGCCCTGCACAAGGCAAGTCCCAGCCCCTTTGGTGCACAAAGTGGTGTAGAGGCCTGGTGGAGAACTGAAGGGACCACCACAGCTCCACAGGGCAGCAACCCAGTGGGAGACAGAAGCCCAGCCCCTCCAATACATAGCATGGTGTACAGAGCTGGTGGACAGCAGCTGGGACTGGGGCGGCTGCATGAGGCAGGGCCAGCCCCCATGCCTGCACAAGACATGTGCCCCCTTTGGTGCACAGTGCAGTGCACAGGGCTGAGAGTAGGCTGACAGGCTGGGTGGCTGCACGAGGCAGCTTGGGCCTTTCTGCACTGAGTAGCACAGGTTTACCACCCCAGCAAGGGAAGACGCCCCACCCAGCCCACCACTGCAGATGAGCCTAACTCTCCAAAAGCTGTGGGAGTTGTGAGTCACCCAGGAAGGGGATTTCCACAGGGGAGGAGGAGCCTCTGATGGGAGGGGACGATTTGCCCTGGGACATATAAAGAAATCTAGGGCCCCTGTTGATTAAAGGTAGGTTCCTGGTCATGGGCCTTTCCTAGATGAGTAACTTAGGAAAGGGTAATAATGTTCTGTTAGTTAACGGGATTCTTCCCCAGGTGCTATTTCTTCATTGGGCACAGCTCCTGTGCCATTGGTGTGGTCTGTTTCTTTATGCCATTGGGATTTTTGTTGTAAACCCTGCATCCTTATTGTTGTATCAGGAAAGGATTGTAAGCTGTTTTATATTTGAACTCATTGTATGGGTTATCTGTACATATAAGGATTTATTTGATGTAACCTGATTGTGTATGTACAATTATTGTCCCATCATTGCCAGATATTCTTGTCATTGTTTTGTTG